ATTTCCTGCAGTCTGTCAGACACTCTCCTGGTATCCTAGAGGACTGAGGTTAACTATTCCTTAGATCTAGACCACATGGATTTTATGGTTTAATGACTTACAGTCCAGTGGCTTTTGAAGTGTCACACAATATTGACAGAGGACAGGAAGAGCTCAGAAAAGCGACAGTGCCTGCCATCTCAGGAAACAACCCAAACAGCTTACTACATTGCTTAGTAGCATGAAAATTTGTCTGACTTGCTTTGTGAAGACTGTGTAATCCTACCCTTGATATAGCTGAAAAAGTTAACAGGATTGCCTGAAAATATTCATGTAGTTTGAGATTCCTAGCTGGGAGAGTTGGGATAAATTTAAACTATTATTATTTATCCTACATACTCTAAGCTTTGTTATCACCTGCCAAGTTTGACCGAAGAAACGTTAAGTGAAGTGAAATAATGTAATACATTAATGCTAATTAATGTAATACACACAGTCATATCCCTCACACAGACAATAGATAGGCTAGTAGATTTCTCTACTACAGTACCAGAGAGATAGTGGATTAGCATTTGAGGTCACTAGGAATCAACACAATCTTAGCTATTGTCCCTCATGTGAGTAGTTAACTCTTTGGGGCTGGGTACCTGATCCCTTGGTGTCTCTCCGGTAGACACGTGTATGTCCAGCTGCCCTGACAGGAGAGAGAACACACAGAGCAAAGTTAACTTCATCATCTTTCTTGCCCATGGATTGGCCCTTTGATCATGAAACAACTTTAGATTTTATATCCTTTCTTTAGAGGGGTGGTTTGGTGTCATATAACTGAGTAATTTTTTTATTCTGACTATGCTGCTTAAGATTTAAATGGGCAGAAAAAACTGAAATAACTATTGTTAGAGATATGTAATGTTAGAGATTTTCTATGCAAGATGTAGAATGAATAGGGCTACAAAAACTCTGAATGTGGCCCCTTCACGGAAATGCCTATCATATTGGGAAAGCAGCCATCAGAATTTGCATTTAAATTCAATGCTAGTGGAACCTGGAACACTCCAAATGATAAAGAAGAGCTTCTTCTGTGGTTTCTTCTCCTGAAAAAAACCCTATAACAAGAATAAAATCAAAGCTGAGGCATCTGAGAATGGAAAGTGGAATATAAAAAACTAATCTTACTGTATTAAATATGTATAAAACGAAATATAAAATTAATAGGTGGGTCAAGCAAAGACAGATATGGTTAAAAGTAAAAATAAGTATACTGAAGCTAAGTTAGACGTTTGTTCTTTTGAGAAGGGCTGTTTCTTTCATTCATAGTTCCTGGAGCTTATTAAAATTGATTACAAGTGTTATAGAGATGGGCTTGCAATCCTCATAAAAGTCTCTCTAAATATGCCAGTGCACAGTTTATGTTAATGTTTTAGTTAATCACAGTTTTTAAAAATTTAACTGTAGCATTTATATGGAAGTGGTTCTGTCCCTATCATTAAATGCTTTTAGGACTATATTGATTATTCAGGAATTTAGTGAACTTTAGTTAAAATTACTGCCTACAATTCAGGGTACTTGTTATTCTACAAAACATTTCTAGTTTATGTAGCTGAGCTATCAGATTTTATTCTAGCTTTTAGAAACTACTAATAGTCACTCACTATAGCCAACTTTAACTTTTCTAAAAGAGGATAAAGAAAAGATTATATTTTTTACGTTTTTATTTAATTTTATTTGCTTAACTAGAATACATTTTTCAGGAGCTCTATAGGTAATCATATATTTTAAGGCAGGTATTAGAAAAAATAACTGTGTACTCAGGTGCCTATTATGATGTTATTTGTCTAATTTTCTTAGAACTTGTCCTGAAGTTTATTTTGTCTCAGGAGCCAAAGAAGGCATATACACTACCCCAGAGATAACGTCTACAGCCAATAGTAAAGTGAAATTTACAGATGTTGATAAAGCTAAGATTTTGGCTAATTAACTGAGCCTGAACTGAAGCATAGAGAGCACCAAACTTTCCTAAAGTTCTGCCAGGTTTAACCTCTTAACTAGCAACCTCAGGCTTGATAGCCTTTAATTAATGTAATTGCTACACTTAGACCTTTTTTTTTTTTAATGTGGTTATCTTTGTCATTACTGCAGAAACTCTCTTTGTTTCCCGGTTTAGTAAATGAAATAATAAATGTGAAAATATTTTTAAGTAAAAATATTTTTTGATGTAAAACATTAAGAAATAAGTGATTATCATTAAAGAATTCCTTAATTTTGGAGGGAGTTCCTTTCAGTTCTAATACTAATCAGCCTTTAACCTGAATCCTAGCTCCAGCTGTAAATCGATGTGCTGTGAGCTATAATGGAGGAACGTACAAAGGTTTGTGGAAACCCAGAGAGGGGAGAGATTGGTTCTGCCAGGGGAGCCCAGAAAAGAATCTAATTCTTTCATTTCTGTGTGCCTTCACACAAGAATAAAATTTAAAAGGACTTTTACATATCAGAGAAAAACAAAGATCTTACAAAGTCAGGTTGGATTTTAGCGGTGGGCAACAGCCATGCGCATTGCCTTGGCTCTGCCCCTACTAGCTGTGTGACCTTGGGCTGGTTGCTTTACATTTCTGAACCTTTGTTTCTTCATCTTTAAAATCAAGGCATTTTTGACCAGCAAACATATAAAGTTCCTGGCATATTCTAAGACTGCACTAAATGGTCTTGATAAATGTTGGTGTCCTAATTAAGACCTGTTCTCAGGAACAGAGCTGATAAACTTCTTAATGCTAAGGCATAACTAACAAGAACAATAATAATAGTAATCTTTATCTGCTGAGCTCTTATGATGTGCCAGGCACTGTTTGAAAAAAAGAAATGATGACTTAATAATTTCCCCCATTGTGTGAATATGCAGAAAGGTATGGGGAAGGGAGAGAGGAGGGGAAAGAGAGAGATTTGTTAGGAATGGGGAAATTTTATCATTATGCTTGTCTGTATAGTGATACATAATCTGCACTGTGCCAAAAAATTGTCTGAAATAACTACCAACTTGTATTTCTTGGGTTGAATGTAACACAGATATATGCCTTTTAAATAAAAGTGCTACAAAATAGAAAAAAATACCAATCAGCATTTTACTTGTAAATATTTAATATTCATTTTGTAAACTTCAAGTCCTCTGTTTCAGCCTGAATTCACTTGCTAAGAGGATTAATATTTATATAATAAATATTATAAACTTAATAAAAAGCACAATTATTGAAAGTCTTTGGACATTTAGACATTATGTGAAGCCGGTAACTCGCTTAATTCTGCAGGCTTCAGTTTCTTCATCTGAAAAAGCAGGGTTTAGCCTAGTTCAGCCTTGCCGGTGGGTGACCTGTGTGCCGAGGCTGAAACAGGCAGTCAGTTATGAGACTTTCCTCCTGTGCGAGATGCAGCCTTTTCTACATAAATATCCAGGCAACCACTTAATCATAGTTTATCTAAGAAACAAGACTTTTTTTTTAATGATCTTTGGACCAAATAATTTTTTTTTAATTTTTAAAAAATTTTCTGCTCTGTGTTTGGTGGCCTTTTGAAGCTTCATCCTCTTGGCTGCTAACGTGAACCTAGACGGTGATCCTGACTCTGGCACTGGCCTTGGAGCTGCCGGCCTCGCTGCGCTTGACTGTCTAGAGTTAAATCATTGTCCTCTCCCCACTGCCCCCTTTCTGCCCTGAACAAACTTGCCTTTCCAGCTTGTTCTTACTTTAATGCCGTCATCATTCTACTGGCTCCTTACTTACAAAGCATCCAAAAAAGACAGAAGTTTCAGTTTGCAGAGGAGTCAAGGGCCTAATTACCAGTGGATACCTTTCTAGATCTTACTTGCCTTCTGTGGTATTTTAGAACGTTAATCAGTCATTCCGTTTCATACTCTCTCAGCCACGCTGCTATTACTCCAAAAAAATTCGCAGAGTGTTTTTCTTACAGGGCAGAAAAAGGGAAACAGGTATAGAAGGTGCCAGCAAAAGAGAATCAATACAAGCTGCTGAATTTTTACGATGGTGATTGTTAAGAGCAAGGGCCCAAGGGGTCTTTGCACTTACAATGTCAGGGTCTTCCTTTAATCATGGTTTTCTTTTTCATCTTCATTTACTTAATTGTCAAACATTCCAAGGATGCCCTCACCTCAGGACCTTTGCAGCTGCTCTTTCTCCTGCCAGGATGATTTGCATGGTATACACAGTCTCCCCTCCCTCAGGTCAGCCCACATGCTTACCCACGTGTCACTTCAGAGAGCATCCTCAGGCACTCTGTCTAAAATAGGGCCCTTCCTCTGACCTTGGACTCTTCCTAGTCCCTTAACTGCCTTTATTTTTCTTCATTATACTTGACTACCTATTGTCATTTTATATTTTAATTTTATATATCAGTTTTCTTGTTTATGAATTCAGGGAATTGTCTCTTCTCCCTACTGTGTCCTCTGGGCCTAAAATAGTACCTGACTTATGGTAGGGACTCAGTGAATGTTTGTTGAATGAATAACATACTTTGAAAGTCACTTATCTGAATTAAATCCATACTCCTCAACTTGACATTGAAGGTTCTGCACAATAACACTGTCACTTAGTTTTGCAGCTTTTTGTGGGAAAATAGGGCAGGAAAGTAACCTGGGGACATATCATAGAGAACCTTAAATAGAGATTGAAAAAATGGTAGGGCCAGAGCTACAGCTTTGGCTTTAGTGTGACCTGTGGAGCTTTAGGTCCCCATGGAGGGCGAGTCTCCTCTCCCATCCTGCAAGTGCCTGAGAGGATCAGGGGATGCAGTTACCCTAAGAGCACCCCGGGAGAGAATCCTATTATAGCGAATAGCTTTTTAATGATACGAAGCTGAATCAAGCTGCCCTCAGATGGGATACAACAGACGATGCTGAAGCCTACAAGGCTTCTCCAAAGCAGCATGTTGTATTGGGATATTTATGTCACCATTTCGTACAGAAATCTTCAGTGCCTCCTCATTGCTTATTGATTTAAGTACAAACTCCAGTCCTTCACCTTTGAAGTCCCAGTCTTTCCACAATTTTTTCTTAGTATAGACATACTAAAAACTACTCCATGTAATCAATAGCTCAGCTAAACAAACTACTTTTTTCATTCTTGGTATCTGCCTGCCGTACCCGTTTCTCATACTATCTCTCTACCTAGAATTTCTTCTAAAGCATGATCTCCAAAAGTCAAAATAATATCTTTATTCTCTTTACAAACATGGGAAAGCTCTCTCCCTCCTTTGAATCCCGTTAGCCCTTACATGCCTTATCTTTGCCTGCATTATAGTTACTTCTGTAATTGACCGTACCTTACAACTGACATCCCTATACGCTTAATGCACTGCCTTTACCACAGTAGATGTTCAGTCAGTGGTTGTGGAATTGAATTAATTCCCTTGAAAGGGACTTTAAGATCTTCCAAGGACAAGGAACATATACTGTCTTATTAGAGAATGACTTTTGCTGCTAATGCTTCTTCATGACTTATTTCTGAATTAATATCGATAGCAACTTAGCTGAGAAGTTTTGAATTTACAGGAATGTTCCCAGGAGCATTTTCTATTCATTTTCTGTGTCCCTTGCCATCTTTCAGTTGTCAAGCCAGGTGCATAGCAGGGAAGAATGCAGATAGCCTTCATTTTCTAATAAAGTGAGATGAGTGCCTCCCAAAGATAGAAAAGAAGACTGAACAAACAAGCCGGCTACATTAAAGTTATTTCAGAGTTGTCTTTAGACTAAATCCTGTATCTCTGCGGAGTAAATGATAAGGTGAACAAAGTATTTAAATAACAAACCTAACCTACACTGTAGCTACCTCAGCAACTGAATCAGCTGTTTTTGGGGTCATGTGATTTACTACTTGGCATTAAATCCTAAACACACTGGCTTGATTCTCCCATGCAGATAGGTTCATCCGTATATTCAGCCATATATTTTGCTGTGTTTATAGCACGGAAACAAGCAAAAGAAGTCTGTCAACTGGAAAAGAGTATAGTGCCTCCATTTGTAAGGATGCATAACAGTAAAGGAATATTTCAAATTAACAGCAGGATATTGTTTCCATCTCTAGGGACCAAGAGGACCAGATGGTCTCTCAGGAGAACAAGGTATACAAGGTGCCAAGGTAATCACTGATTTTCTCATTTCATGTACAGTTAAATTTTTTTGAGCCCATATGTCCTACCTGTCTAAAACCTTATGCATTTCCTTATAAAAGTATGGTTCTAAATTTTCTCTTAGTCTAGCTATGAAACATGCATGAAGTTTTTACTGCACACACAGAAATGGGTTTTTTTAAATTACTAAACTGTATACTCGATGTCTTACTCTTTGGCATGTGAATGTATGCTAGCGTGTGGAAGACCATACTGCACATTCTTACTAACACACCTGGTATTGATTCTCTTTTAGGGTGAAAAAGGAGATCACGGGAAAAGAGGGCCTTCTGGTCTCACTGTAAGCAGTAAAGCATTCCACATTAAAGATAAACGGATAAAGTCTGCTTTCCTTGGGGTGTGACTGATATTTGGGGAGGCAGCTCTTTGACCTGGGCGTCTTCTTTCTGTGCAGGGTAAGGCGGGGAGCCCCGGAGAGAGAGGCGTTCAAGGGAAGCCAGTAAGTAATTGAAAATAATCAAGTGATAAACTGATTTTATCTGATTTGCTGTCTGACGCAACTCTTGTTTAGTAATCGGGTTATTAAGCTAAGAGAATACAAGTTTTCCCTCATTGTCATTAGGTCAGGGCTCTACCTGGGCAAGCAGCTTACTTGCTCTGGGTCTTCTTTGTCTATAAACTGGTAGTGGTAACTGTTACTTTTACTTCACCTCGGTTATGACCGTTTTCCTGTAAAATCCATTTCAAGATGAAGTGGTGTGGTATCGTATAAATATACTGAATATTAATAAGGCTAACAGAAGAAATTTCTTTGAGGCTTCTTCCTTAGTTTTGTTTTAACTCAGCTTGAGTGTTGCTTGGACCCTTGGAGTGAGGAGCTCTGTGTGTCATCATGTTTTGCCATGGCACTGCTCTGAGAGTTTTCATGTAATGCTTAATATTTTTCTGCCATCAGAAACCTCAGAATTATACATTTTTTTCCTTGAGACATAAGGTCTGTGGTTATCATCACCGAGGGAGAGAGATGTTAAAAAATAAAAGAAATATATACACACATACATAAGATATTACACATATAAATATATATATATATATATATATATAATTTTGAGCAAAGGAGCCTAAATGTATAGGTTTTTTAATTACTTTCATTTGTAATCATAATTTTAATGACATTGTGATTTGTCATACACATATATGTATAATTTAAAGTCATAAAATTAGACCATAATTTAAATATACTTTAACTGCAGAGTCAGAAAAGCATAGGACAAAAAAAAACTTTAGCTGCTGTAGTAATTATCACTAATGTCATTGCATTTACTTGTTCCTCTGTGAGATCTGCTGCCCCCTGCCTGTTATTTTCCATAATAGCATTATTATTTTCGCCTGGTCAAACCTGAAATAGTTGATCTAAAAGAGAAAAAATGACTGTATCTAGGAAAGAACTTGTGTGTGACACGTATTATTAATTGAAGTCATCCCCAAAGAACGTTCCTTGAGTATTAATATTCATCATGAGTTGTACTAAATTAAGGTAAATCATATTTCGGTAGATTCTTTCCACTTTGCTACACTGTATATAAACCTAATATGTTGCAGTGAGTGGAGAAATTTAGAATTCATCAAGTTCATTCCTCTTACTTTAGAAAAATGAGGCTGAGGGAAATGAAAGTACTTACTCATTTGTGCGTTGTTGACATTCCTTAGAATTTTACATTCATTCTCAGCCTGTCAGATATGCCTGGATAAATGTAAATTTTAATAGTTCGATTTCCTCGGTCAGACAAAAGTTACCAGAACCATTTGTAACCGTAGCTTATGGCAGGTTTCACAGACTACTGGAAGAGCAAAGTTGCCGTCATAGATGACATAGTTCAGACAGTAAATCATGAGTCAATATTAGTTGTTGAGGTTTACTTCGCTCTATACCTGCATCTTCTCGTTCATCTTGACTGAACCAAAATAGACTTTGAGATCTTAGGGAAGCTAGAATCAGTCAAGCCAAGAACTCCAGATGGCCCCAAGGATTTACTTGATCCTGCACGGTAATCCCAGTGTCTCCAGGCATTTTATGCACTGTCAACAAGCAGGCAGTGCTGTATAATAAAAAGGTATATTGGAGGTCAGGTTGACCTTTGTTCTAGTGCGCACTCCTAATAGCAGTGCAGTCTTGGTTAAATTCCTTAGCCCTCTGGGTCATATTTTCCTCATCTGTAAAATAAACAGACAGCTCTAAATTTTCATAGTTCTAAAGCTAGGTATTAAATGAAAGTTAGTTAACACATACAGTGCTCTGCCAAATCAAGATAAACAGGAAAAGTATCTTTGTCCCACTGGCCAACATTGTTTCCTGTATTTGCCTTCCACTCACATGCAGATCTGACTCAAAGGGAAAATCAAGAGGAAAAGACATAATTCATTATCTTATTAGGGTGATAAAGTCTAGATAACCGTTTTTAGTTTTCTAAATCGTATGAAAACTGTAACATTTCATACAACACTGATTTTTTTTATCGATACTCTTTCAGTTAATAAGATAGTGTTAAACCTTTAAGTATGACTTTGTATTGCTCTGTGTCTCTGATTCTGTCAAATTTTGCTTCATGTATTTTGCAGCTCTATTTTTAGGGTATTCATATTATGATTATTAATTATAGCTTCCCAATCAACTGACCTTTTTATCATTATAAAATGTTCCTCTGTATCTCCAGTAATACTCTTTAATTCCTGGTTTTACTGTTTGTTTTGAAATCTACTTTACTTGATATGTAAGTCTCTCCAACTGTTTACATGGCATATCTCTGTCATGCATTTATCTTCAGCCCATCTGTATCTTGATGTTTAAAGTGAGTGTCTAAAAGTTGAATCTTGCTCTTTTATTCATTCTGACAACCTCTGCCTTTAAATTAGCCTTTGCTCCATTTCCACTTAATGTAATTATTGATATGGTTGCATTTAGGTCTACCATTTTATGACTTGTTCCTCTGAGGTGGTCACAGTGGTATTCAGCACCTACTTTAGGCATTGGGTAATTTTGAGAATTCCATTTTAATTGAGCTGTTGGCTTCTTAACTATACTTCATCTCATTGTTACTTTTAAGTGGTTATTCTAAGTCAGGAGTCAGCAAACTTTTTCTGTAAAGTGCCACAGAATAAATAATTTAGGCTTTGCGGGCCATCTGGTCTCTTTACAACTACTCAGCTCTGTCATCATAGTATGAGAGCGACTGTAGACAGTATGTAAGGGATTGAGCGTAGATTTGTTCCAAAGAAACCTTTATTTACAAAATCCGGTGATGGTCCAAATCTGTCCCCCACACTGTAGTTTGTCAGTCACCAGCTGAAGGATTACAGTACACGTCCTAACTTTTCCACAGTCTACTTAAAGTTAATACAGTAACACTTAACATAATGACCAGAAACTTGCAACCATGTAAACCTGTTTAGCAGCAGCCTGCCTTGTATGCTGTATTTGTTTTATGTATTACATCTATATATGTTATAAGCTCCATTTTGCAAGGTTTAAATTCTGCTTTAATATAAATAAAATCTTCTTTTCTTTACTGTAATGAAGTACATGGCTTAGAGATATTTAGGAAGAAAATAGCATTTTTAAAAATTTCTCTGTGCATTTCCTCCTTCTGGGGCTCTTTCTTGCTTTCTGCAGATGTACGTTTCTAAATGGTGTCATTTCCCTGCAGCCACAGAACTCCCTTTAGATCTCTTACAGTCAAGTTCTTCTAGTGATGAGTTCTCTTGGTTTTCTTCATTTCACCTTCATTCTTGAGGGATGTTTTCACTTGCTGTAGAATTCTGGGTCGGCAGGGTTTTCTTTTTTTTTCTTTTTTCTTTTTTTGGTTTCCGTTCAGCACTGTAAAGATGACATACCTTTAATTTCGGCCTTCATTCTTTCTAATGAGAAGTCTACGCTTACCTTTATCATTATTCCTCTGCATATAACGTATCATTTTTCTCTGGCTGCTTTTGAGAGTTTCTCTTTATCTTTGGCTTTTGGCAGTTTGACTGTGTTGTGCCTCGATGGATTTTCTTTGCATGTATCCAGCTTGAGGTTTGCAGAGCTGCTTGTGTTTGTAAATTTGTGTTTTCACTAAATTTGGAAAATTTTCAACGTTCTGCTTTTTTCAGGTATTTTCCCTTTGCCATTTCCCTTCTCCTTTCTTTCTTGTATTTCAATTAAATATATGTTAGTCATTTTGATATCATACCTTAGGTCCCTGGGGCTCCATTCGTTCCTATTTCAATCTTCCTTTTTCCTGTTTTTCTTGTTTTTTGGTGGGACAACCTGAATCTATCTTCACTAACTTGTTAAGCCCTTTCACTAAAATTTTATTAATGATATTGTATTTTTCAGTTTCATTTGGATATTTAATTTTCTATAATTTTTGCCATTTCTTTATACAGATGCTTTTTCTTTTCTGAGATTTCCTGTTCGTTTATTCATCATGAACATATTTTTATTTACCCATTATTGAACATGTTCATATTAGCTACTTTAAAATCATTGTGTGATATATCTAACATCTGTGTAATCTTGAGTTTGGTCTCCATCAATTGCCTTCTCTCATAAATACGGGAAGATGTTCCTGTCTGATAATTTTGAGTTATATCTTGAACATTTTGAAGGACTCATTGTAGAGAGTCTAAAGTCTGTTATATTTCTTTGAAGAGTATTGCTTTCTTTTAAAGTCTGTCAGACAGTTAATTTGG